GCCCCAGCCTGTGGGGCCCCACAAAGAGACAAAAGGGGAAAAAAGAAGAAAAAAGAATTTAAAAAATTAATTAAAAAGATAAAAGCACAAAGAGTTTAAAAAGATAAAAAGAAAAAAGAATTCAAAAAGAGAAAAGGCAAAAGAAATTCCGAGAAGAGCCAAAAGGCGCAAAGAGAAAGACGCAGAAAGCCATCTACGCAAGAATCAGCAGCAGCAGCAGCAGCAACAGCAGCAGCAGCAGCAGCAACAGCAGCAGCAGCAGCAGCAGCAGCAACGCGGCAGCGCGGCAGCAGCGTCGCTCTCTCTCCGTCCACCTCTTCCGTGCTCTTAAATCTCCTTCGACTTCATTTAAATCCTTTTAATTAATTATTTATTTATTTAATTATTTATTTATTTAATTATTTAATTATTTAATTATTTAATTATTTAATTATTTAAATCCCCACTTGTTCTTCAAAAGTCCTTCATTAAAATAAACTCCAAAACGCCTCAGCATTTCCCTCGCGCGGCTGCAGCAAAACAAAGGGCCCCCTGTACATACACCCCATGGCCCTGGGGGCCCCCTCAGGGCCTTTTCGGGGGGCCCCCAGGGGCCCCCAGGGGCCCCAAGGGGCCCCCAGGGGCCCCCAGGGGCCCCCCGGGGGCCCCCAAAGCCCCCAAAGACTGCTTGCACTCTGCAGGCCCCAGCGGGGCCTCCTAGGGGCCCCCTGAGGGGCCCCCCGAGCCTAAGGAGACCCGGAAAACCTTAAATATTCCCTGGGGGCCCCAGGGGCCCCCTAGGGGCCCCCCACGGGCCCCTCAGGGGGCCCCCAGGGGCCCCCAGGGGCCCCCAGGGGCCCCCAGGGGCCTGTGATAGGAGGGGGGGCACCCATGAGCTTCCCACAGCTTCCGCTTTTGTGCCATATGTTCTGTCTACCCTGCAGCAGCTGCTGCTGCTGTTGCTGCTGCTGCTGCTGCTGCTGCTGCTGCTGCTGCTGCTGCTGCTGCTGCTGCTGCTTGAAATGACTCACCAGAGAGGAAGCGACAGCAAAGGGAACAGTGCGGGGGGCCAAAGGCGGTGAGGCCCTTTTGCTGCTGCTGCTGCTGCTGCTGCAGCAGCAGAACAGCCCTGAGAAGCAGCACAAGGGCCCCGACACGCAATGGAGCAGCAGCAGCAGCTGCTGCTGCTGCTGTTGCTGCTGCTGCTGCTGCAGCCTGACGCTCTCGCTGCGACTCAAAACTAGCTAGACAACCAGCTAGCTAGCTAGCTAACTACTAGCTAGCCAATCGGCGAGACGGCCAGCTGGCTAGCTAGCTAGCTAGCCAACTCGCTCGCCAACTGGCTTGCAAGCTAGCCACTCAGCTAGCTAGCCAGCTAGCTGGCCCAGCGGCCAGCTAGCTAGCCAGCTAGCTAGCCAGCGCTAGCCAACTAGCTGGCCACCCCGTGGGTGAGCCAGCTAGCTAGCCAGCTAGCTAGCCAGCTAGCTAGCCAGCTAGCTAGCCAGCTAGCTAGCCACCCAGCTAGCCAGCTAGCTAGCCACCCAGCTAGCCAGCTAGCTAGCCAGCTAGCTAGCCAGCTAGCTAGCCAGCTAGCTAGCCAGCTAGCTAGCCAGCCAAAGAATAAAAACTAAATGGCAAATTAACAAAAAGCAGCAGCTCTTTGGTTCAAACAAAAGCCCACCTGCAGCATTTCAATAAAAACACTTTTTCTTTTTCTTTCCTTCAAAGCTGTGGGGCCCCACAGCCCCTTGAAGCCCCGGGGGCCCTGGGGGGCCCCCCACAGTACCCTTTTTTGGGGGGCCCCCCACAGTACCCTCTTTTGGGGGCCCCCGCCCCGCTGCGCCCCGCGCCCAGCAAGGGGCCCCCCAGGGGGCCCCTCAGGGGCCCCCTGAGGGCCCTTTTGGCTGAGAGCAGCGGCCGGGGCCCCACGTGCTGCAGCAGCAACTTGCTGCTGCTGCAGTAAACCCCACAAACGCAGCACTGGTACAGAGACACGGGAGCAGCAGACACGGGAGAAGACAAGGCGGGGCCCATTGCAGCAGCCAGAAGAGAAGCACGTGCTGCTGCTGCTGCTGCTGCTGCTGCTGCTGCTGCTGCTCCAGCTTCTCCCTCGCTTGCTGCAGTAGCAGCAGCCGATGCTGCTGCTGCGGCCCGAGACGCCCTGCTGGAGCGGCGGGACACGGGATACTCTTCAGCAGCAGCACGGGGCCCCCTTTTAACAGAGACAAGGGGCCCCCTACGCCTGTGCTTGCGCCTGCGGGGGCCCCTTCGTTGGAGCCTGCCTTCTGCTGCTGCTGCTGCTGCTGCTGCTGCGCCTGCTGCTGTTTGCTGCTGCTGCTGCAGCAAAGCCACAGCAGCAGCAGCAGGGTCATACGTAGCCCCATACCTTTCCTTCAGGGCTTTGCGTGCTGCAGCAGCAACGCGGCAGGAGAGGGCCCCCGTGCTGCTGTGGGGCAGCAGCAGCAGCACCTCAACCCCATCTAGAGGGTCCTGCTGCTGCTGCTGCTGCTGCTGCTGCTGCTGCTGCTGCCGCTGCCTGTTTGACTCTCTCAGCTGCTGCAGCTGCTGCAGCAGCTGCTCGCTGCCTTGAGGTGTATATGCAGGTCGCGGGCGGGGGCGGCCCGGCGGCTGCCGCTGCTGCCTCCGCTGCTGCTGCTGCTGCTGCTGCTGCTGCTGCTGCTGCTCTTGCTGCGCCTGCTCTTGGGCCTGCTGCTGCTGTTGTTCCTGCTGCTGCTGCTCCTGCTGCTGCTGCTGCTGCAGCACGTCAGCAGCAAGGGATTCATAGAACCCGTCCAGCAGCTCAGAGACAAAAGAGGCAGGGGCCCCCTTAATGGCTTCTTCTCCAGGGCCAGAGGGGCCCCCAGGGGGGGCCCCTGGGGGCCCCTCTCCCCCAGTACCCTCTTCTCCCTGGGGGCCCCCATGGCCCCGGGGGCCCCGGGGCCCCTCGCCTGTAGGGGGCCCCCCTCCTGTACCCTCGGAGGGCCCCTCACTATCAGCTGGCGGGGGCCCCGAGGCCTCTGGGGGGCCCCCAGCAGCTGCGCGGCCCCCTGGGGCCCCCAAAGGGGGCCCCAGGGGGGGCCCCCCAGGGGCCCCCAAGGGGGCCCCCAAGGAGGCCCCCAAGGGGGGCCCCTCAGGGGGCCCCAAAGGGGCCCCCTGGGAGGCCTCCATGCGGAGCAGGGGGCCCCCACGGGTGGCCAGGGGCCCTGGCGGGCTAGAAGGTTAGGAGCTGCTGGCTGCTGCTGCTGCTGCTGCTGCTGCTGCTGCTGCTGCTGCTAGTGATTCTGCTGCTGCTGCTGCTGCTGCCCGCCTCGCTGCCGGGGCGGTTGCTGCTGCTGTTCCTGCTGGTGTTTGTGCTGCCGTTTCTGCTGCTCCTGCTGCAGCCGTTGCTGCTTGTGCTGCTGCTGCTTGTGCTGCTGCTGCTGCTGCTGCTGCTGCCGCTGCTGCTGCTGCTTCTTCAGCAGAAGCTGCTAATTAAAGGTTTTGCTGTGCTGCCTCAATCTAGCAGGCTCTCAAACCCTTGGGGGCCCCCCGGGGGCCCCCGGGGGCCCCCTGGGGGCTCCCGGGGCCCCAGGGGCCCCTTTTGGGGCCCCCGGAAGCTGCTGTTAGGGCCCTAGGGGCCCCTTAATATATGGCAGGCCTTATTTTGTAAGAGGGACCTCGGAAGGTCACTTGCTGCTGCTGCTGCTGCTGCTGCTGCAAATCGAGCCGGAGTAGCAGCAGCAGCAGCTGCTGCTGCTGCTGCTGCTGCAGCGAGACGACAAACAGCGCCGGTGTGTGTTGAATTATAAATTAAAAATGTTAATATGGCAGGTAAACCCTAAACCCTAAACCCTAAACCCTAAACCCTAGCGTCGCCAGGGTCGCACTGAGGGGTCCAGCGGCCCCAGAACACCCCAGATCACCAGTAGAGAACCTTAGCCTGAGCCCTAAACCCTAAACCCTAAACCCTAAACCCTAAACCCTCGAACTAGAAAGTTGTATTTTCTCAAATCCTCGTGGCTTTCTTTAATCCAAGTAAACCCTCGTGCGCTAAACCCTAAACCCTAAACCCTAAACCCTCCCGCCACAGGGTACTGACTGGCGCAGTCCGAACAGAAAGTCCCGAACCCTAAACCCTAAACCCTAAACCCTAAATCTTGAGTTTTGGCCCTCAAATATAAACGCTAGGCCTCCTGGCTTCTCCTAAACCCTAAACCCTAAACCCTAGAGTGTTGTCTTGGCCAGCCCAGTCTGCAAACATTTTGAGAGGGCCCGCAGTAACGTATCTGCTGCTGCTGCTGCTGCTGCTGCTGCTGCTGCTGCTGCTTCTGCTGCTGCTGCAGATACTACTTCCCTGCTGCCACTGCTGCTGCTGCTGCTGCTGCTGCTGCAGATACTCCTGCTGCTGCAGATACTCCTGCTCTGCTGCTGCTGCTGCTGCTGTTGCTACTGCATCTGATACTTCTGCTGCTGCTGCTGCTTTTGTATTGCCTCAAAAGGATGACCACTTGGTGGCCAGGGTTTAGGGTTTAGCTTCAAGGGCTAGGGTTTAGGGTTTAGGGTTAGGGTAGGGTTTAGGGTTTAGGGTAAGAAACCATTAATGCTGTGGGGCCCCACAGCATTAATGGGGCCCCTACTGAACTGCAGCAAACTGCAGTGGGCCCCCAGGGGCCCCCTGGAGGCCCCAGGGGCCCCCAAAACCCCCAAAGGGGGCCCCATTACCCTTTTGGGGGCCCCCTTTGGGGCCCCATGAGACGCTGGGGGCCTCCAGGGGCCTCAAGGGTACTGAGACGCCCTGGGGGCCCTCCCGGGTTTTGTAGAGGGCACTGGGGGCCCCCAGGGGCCCCTTGGGGGCCCCCGGGGGCCCCTCGGGGGCCCCCAGGGGCCCCTTCGGGCCCTTTTGCCCTGCAGGGGGCCCTGTTGCTGCCCGTGGCTTCAGCAGGTCCGCTGCTGCAGCCGCCGCTGCAGCCCCGCTGCCGCTGCTGCTGCTGCTGCAGCAGCAGCAGCAGCAGCAGCAGCAGCAGCAGCTGTTGGGGCCCTTGTCAGTGCTGCTTGCTGGGCCTTTGTCCGTAAAGGCTGTTGAGGTACAAAGGGGTAAAAATCAAAATGCATGCAGAGCCCAGCAGCAGCCCCAGCGACAGCAAATTGGCTTTCTTTTGCTGCTCCAGGGGGCCCCCCCGGGGGCCCCCCCAGGGGCCCCCCGGGGGGCCCCCCCGGGGGGGCCCCCCGGGGTAAGCTGCATACTTAGTACCCTTAAAACGAAAGGCAGGGGGGGCCTCTCGCAGCGCCCAAGACCCCACTTGTTCGTTTGCTGCTGCGAGCCGCCCACGGAGCGAAGCTGCTGCTGCTGCCAGCGAGGGGGGGGCCCCCCAGGGGGGCCCCCCGGGGGCCCCCCGCGGGGGCCCCCCGGGGGCCCCTCCGGGGGCCCCCCGCGGGGGCCCCTTGGGGGCCCCCCTGGGAGGCGGGGGGCCCCTGCTGGGGCCCCCTCCTGAGGGAGGTCCGCGGGGGGCCCCCAGGGCCGACTGCAGCAGCAAAGAGGCGCGGCTGAGGGCCCCCTTGAGGTAGCCCTGGAAGTTGGGGGGGGGGCCCATGGGGCCCTCGGGGGTCGGGGGGCCCCCCAGAAGGAGCTGCAGATGATTAGAAATGAATAAAATAAAACTAAATTAATTAGAAAGTGTTTATACGCGCTTTCGGGGGTCTAAGCGGCTCTTCTGTCTGTACAGCCAGCACCAGGGGGCCCCCGGAAGAGAGGGTGTGCCAGGGGCCCCCTGTGAGCCGGTTCTGCTGTTGTTTTGCAGCACTTTGTGAATTTATTTTATAAATGCGAATTAATTTATTATTTAAATTCAATTTATTCTTTAAATTGCGCAAATCTGTGCAAGCAAGGCCACGAATCAGCAGCAGCAGCAGCTGCGCAGCGAGCGGCTTCGGCCAGATCGCTCGCAACGGAGGCCCCCTTGTCCATTTTAATTAACTTTTAATTGTTTTTAATTATTTATATTTCATTAATTCCATTTAGAAGTCCAATTTGTTCCTTTTTCTGTCCATTGGGGCCCCGAAGAGGCCTCTTATTGCTGCAGCAGCAGTGACGCAGCAAAAACTACCTAACAATAGACCCCCCCATCATTGTCTTGCTGCTGCTGCTGCTGCTGCTGCTTCTAGCTGCTGCTGCTGCTGCTTCTAGCTGCTGCTGCTGCTGCTGCTGCTGCTGCTGCTTCTGGTTGCTGCTGCTGCTGCTGCTGCTGCCCACAACGCTGTGGGCTGAAGGGCCCCCTTTAACCTTCCAAAACCTCAAAAGCCCCAAAAACTCCCCAAAGGCAATCAAAGGGCCCCAGCCCGCTCAGGGGCCCCCGGGGGCCCCCCAAGTCCCCCCGGGGGGCCCCCTGGGGCCCCCAGGGGCCCTCGTGCGCTTCCCATAGTAGTAAACCCTAAACCCTAACCCTAAACCCTAAACCCTAGACCCTAAACCTCGTGTGGAGAAGCAAAATGTCGTTTTCAACTTGTATTACAAATGTAGAAATGCATTTCTTTGAAACAAATCGAGACTTCAAAATTCAACAAAGTCACAAATTTTGTTTGGGGGGCCCCTCAGGGGGCCCCAACAGAGGGCCCCTCAGGGGGCCCCAACAGGGGGCCCCTCAGGGGGCCCCAACAGGGGGCCCCTCAGGAGGCCCCAACAGGGGGCCCCTCAGGGGGCCCCAACAGGGGGGCCCCTCAGAGGGCCCCAACAAGGGGCCCCTCAGGAGGCCCTAGGGAAGTACCCTCAAAAGGACCCTCGGGGGGCCCCTCAAGGGCCCCTCAAAAGCCCCGCAAGAGCCCCTCAAGGGGCCCCTCAAGGGCCTCACAAGGGGCCCCTCAAGGGGCCCCTCACTGGGGCCCCTCAAGGGGCCCCTCAAGGGGCCCCTCACTGGGGCCTCTCAAGGGGCCCCTCAAGGGGCCCCTCAAGGGGCCCCTCACTGGGGCCCCCCAAGGGGTCCCTCAAGGGGCCCCTCAAGGGGCCCCTCACTGGGGCCCCCCAAGTGGCCCCTCAAGGGGCCCCTCAAGGGGCCCCTGAGTGGGGCCCCTGAGGGGGCCCCCAAGAGAGGGGGAGGGGTTTGGGTTTTGGGATTTAAATGGAAGAAGAGAAAAGGGGCCCCCCTTGGAGGGTTTGGAATTGTTGTTTGAACTTGTTGAGGAAATAAAAAAGAAAAGCCGAAAAAGAAGTCGAAAGAAATGCCAAAGACGCCGCGAACAAGCTCAGCGGGCCCTCGCTGCGCGCAAACCCTAAACCCTAAACCCTAAACCCTAAACCCTAAACCCTAAACCCTGGACCTTGCACCGCCGCCGGAACCCTCGCGCCCTAAACCCCTGGTCCAGCCCACTCCAGACGCAGCCGAGCAAGCACCAACCCTAAACCCTAGCCCGCAACCCCCAAACCCTAAACCCTAAACCTTAAACCCTAAACCCTAAACCCTAAACCCTCGACGCACTTCTCCGGCACCATCACGGGGTAGCGGTTGACATCCACGATCATGGAGCCCAGCGCCCAGCCCGCCTCCAAAGAGCGGTCGGGATCGTCTTCGGGATCGTCTTCGGGATCGACTCCGGGATCGCCTCTGGGATCGTGTTTGGGATCGACTCCGGGATCGACTGTGGGGTCGACTCCGGGATCGTGTTTGGGATCGACTCCAGGATCGCCTCCGGGATCGCCTTTGGGATCGCCTCTGGGATCGTGTTTGGGATCGCCTTTGGGATCGCCTTTGGGATCGTGTTTGGGATCGTGTTTGGGATCGTGTTTGGGATCGTGTTTGGGATCGGTTTTGGGATCGTTTTTGGGATCGGTTTTGGGATCGATCCGGAGTCTTAGGGAAGGGTTTGGGGGGGCCGGAATGGCGAAGGAAATCTGCTGAGAGTCGAGGGGAAAGCCAAACCCTCGAGAGAGCAGCGCGAGGCTCCACGTGGCTTTCCAGCACAGCTTCATCATCGCCCGCTGCGCAAAACCCTAAACCCTAAACCCTAAACCCTAAACCCTAAACCCTAAACCCTAAATCCCAAACCCTAAACCCCAAACCCTAAACCCTAAACCCTAAACCGTAAACCCTAGATCCTAAAACGCCCTGCCGCCCCCGCTCCGCCGGCCCCTCGCCCGCGCGAGGGTTTAGGGTTTAGGGTTTAGGGTTTAGGGTTTGGGGCTGGGGCGTACCGGGGAGTAGGCCTTGATGGCGTGCTGCTGTCTGTACACCTGAAGACCCTCCTCCGTCAGTTCGCAAATTCTTTTTGTCTTTTTTTGCCAATTAATTAAAGTCGGAGAACTCGGGAGGTCCAGCGCGCCCCACACCTTCGCCAGCTGCCCAAACGCCAAAAACCTGCAAACCCCAAACCCCAAACCCTAAACCCTAAACCCTAAACCCTAAACCCTAAACCCTAAGCCCTGCGGCCTGCGGGGAGCGCAGTCCTGGACGCGAAGGCCCAAGAGGGGCGGGCCCTTCAGAGAGCAGAAGCACCCGCTCCTGCGGAAACCCTAAACCCTAAACCCTAAACCCTAAACCCTAAACCCTAAACCCTAAACCCTAAGCCCTAAAAGTCCCAGTTGTTTTACTTGCTGTCCCTCAGCCTTGGTTGGTACACCCCGTTGAAGGAGCAGCGGTTTACAAAGCAAGGCGCGTTAAAGAAGAGTCTGCGCAGATACACAAAACCCTAAACCCTAAACCCTAAACCCTAAACCCTAAACCCTAAGCCCTGAACCCTAGACCTTGAAAACCGAAGGAAACAATGAGGTGGCCTCGTCCTCCCTCCAATCTCCGCAAAAAAGCAAAAAGCCCTAGACCCTAAACCCTAAACCCTAAACCCTAAACCCTAAACCCTAAACCCTAAACCCCACGTTGAGGCGAGATCGAAGCACTTATCGAAATCTCCTGTGCCCCTGAACTTGACTTTCAAGTCCACAACTTCGTTTCCTTCCATTTCAAAACTGTTTTCTTTTTCCTTTTCTTTTTTCTTTTCCTTCTTCCCCTTTTCCCTCCCCCCCTGCTGCTCCTCCCCCCCTGCTGCTGCATCTCCCTGGGGGCCCCCTGGGGCCCCCTCCCCGGGGGCCCCCTCCCCGGGGGCCCCCTCCCCGGGGGCCCCCTCCCCCGGGGCGGG